CCCCCCCAACAAAGATAAAATGTCTGCTTGCTCAATGTTATTGGAATCTAGATAAGAAAAAGAGTATAAATTTGACGAGTTCCAAGTCTTCCATCCCACCATAAAATAATATTGTTACACCTAGAAGTGTATTCTAATTTCTAAATTATATCCTAAAAAATGTACTAACATTTTAATAATTCATATTGGTACAAAATGTTAGTTTAATAAAAAAATGTAATGACATCTTGTGTAATTGTAAAACATCACAAAAGCACTAAATATTGGTGCATGCCTTCAGGGTACAATATTTTGTGTACAAATATTATTTTCTTAAAACACTCAATAATTTTTTATCAAATAGATTGCAAAAATATGAAAAGAAATTAAACAAAATTTAACCCTATCAATAATGAACATATAATTTAATTTGAGACAGAAGGAGTACTATATTTTCTAGACCCACACACACACAGATTTGTGATGAGTGAAAAAGATGAGGTTGAGTAAGACTACGTGTAATGACAGACTTGACGACATTTTAGAGGGTGCTACACAAGCTTGGAGTGAGTAAAAAAATACGGAGTATAAAATATGTGTTATGGGTCTTGAAAAGAGAATAATAAGTGATAGAATGCATATGTGAATTACTTTAATTACTTGAAGTAAATATGCATTAAATTTTGATTGTTAAAAAAAGAAAAATGTGAATCATGGTCGAGATGGCCATTACTGCCAAAGGGGCAACGCCTTGTCACACTGGTCATGGCATGGGATGGAGGGCGTGAGGGGCTGGTAACCGTGGTGGGAATTGGGAGACACTCCACAAGAGATGACCTAAGAATCATTAATCAAAATTTAAAAGATAATTAATCAATATTTTATAGAACTTATTCCTGTTGGAGATATCTGAGCTATAAGTGTTGTAACAAAAAAATAATTTAACTTTAAATTGTATTAAAAAATCACTTCAACTAAAAAAATTTGTAACAAAAAAAACTTCAACCAAATTCTAAGTTACTAATTGGTAACAAAGATCAAAATTGAAATGTCTTTTTAATGTTTTTCACTACAATAATTTCTTGCTTATTCAATTAATTTAACTCAAATCAACATATCTAGACCAAGTTAACTCACTAATATATTTAATTAAGTAGATCAAAATAAAAATTAGGTCAACAAAATCATCCTCCAAAAACAATGGAAAGACCATTCAAATTAGTATGTAAACCAAGCCAAACACGTTGTTGAGTGTGCACTATCGGATTCTAAAGGTTGACAAAGAGTGAAATCATAAGGTAAATTTGAGAAAGAGTGTGAAATCATAAGGTAAAAGAAAAAACACTCGCATTAGTATTTAAAAAGAAAATTATTATGTTCTATACTTTAAGTAAAAATTTATCATTGCCTCTAAATTCTTATCTCAAAAACAATGCTTCCTCTATTCTGTAGTACTCCCTCCGTCCCAAAAAGAATGTTACGTTTCATTTTTTGCGCATCCTTTAAAACACTTTTATATCGTCTCAAATGTCAAAAAAAACTTTCAAAACAATTTCATTTTATAATAAAAAGTAAATATGGTAAATTTTAGAATTTTTAGATGTGAGTAGCAGTGTTTTTTGTGATGCGCAAAAAAATGAAATGTAACATTCTTTTTGGGACGGAGGGAGTATAAAAAAGAGTCCTCGCTCCTTTTATGAATGTCTCCAAAATTGATTTGTTTTTTAATTTAAAAAACATTTAAGGCTATTCTTTTTCTTATGCTCTCAAATTTATTCAAATGAAGATGATAATATTTAAAAAAATCAACAAGTGATTTTTTAAATCAAATAATTTTTCTTAATCTCGATTTTAAGTCCAATAATTATAACTCAAAATTATGGGTAAAGATGGGACCCACTGGGACAATAAAAATGGGATAAAAGGGACTATGGAATTTCAAATATTCCGTTTTTTTCCTTTTTAAATTAAAATATTCGGTATTCAATAATCAAACAATATGCATGTGTTCGTTCAAACAATATGTGTGTGTTTGTGAACCAAACATTTCTCATGTTGTTTACCAAAGTCCCTGTAGTGAAATCAATCAATCTACCAAATAATTTTTTAAGATCTTTTAGTTTGTTTTATTTAATTTTTTTAGTATAGGTACTTTATTTAAGAAAATAGAAAAACAAATAGAAAAATATCCAAGAAGAATTATTTAACTTTTTTTTTATCCAAGAGGAAATTTGGTGAAAGGGGATTTCAAATTATTCTCAAGGACGTTTGAATTTACACACCCAATCATCCATTGTTATTCACTCCGTATTTCTAGAATGTTAGGTATTTATTTAGAGTAATGCTAGAGTCACAAATAAAACATTCACAAAATGTATAAACTTACTAAATATGTAAAGTAATGGGTTGAAATAATGGTCTCAAATAATTTAAAAATAAAAACTAAAATATACAAATATTAAATTTGTGCATTTTGTAAATGTTTTGTTTGATATTCTAGAATTACTCATCTATTTACTTTTCGGTAAATATTTGATCCATTCAAATTAATTGTCCACTTTTTTTAAATTTTTGTTTCTTCAAATTTGCGAGTTGTAGATACTTAAAAAACATGTTATGGCATCCAAAATTTTGACTCGCAGTTGACATCAATACAAATAACGAATTAGTGTTACGTATGTGTGAATGTGTGATATCAAAAAGGGTTCAAGCTTCACTTTATTTGGGAACAACATTGTTTATTGATATTAACATTTTGGATAAAAATTTAATGATATAAATTAATTTTAAAAATACTAACGTTAAAAAGTACCATTAGATATTATTTTTAAAATGTTAATGCTAAACTTTAATATTGTTACCAAACGCATCATTGACATCAATAGGAATGCCATCTTTAGAAATAGGTTATTTGAAAATAGATAACTAAATGAGGGATTACTAATTAGTCGCGTATAGTATAGACAAAAACAAAAGTGAGCAGCTCTTTTTACCTTTAAAATTTTTATATTTTCAAATTAAAGAAAAAGTGAAGAATGGTGTTTAAAACTGGCCGAATCTCAGGCGTTAGATCTCAATGCCTATCCAACAAGACAATCTCACACTTGAATTTTAAAAAAAAAAAAAGAACTTCTCAAATGTTTACTCTCTATTTATTTTGATATATTAGATCGGGGAGCGTCTAAAATGACAATAACTACATATACACCAATTGCTTATACCAGTTTGTTGAGTACGTCACGGTGCTCCGTTTGTAAAAATGATGATTTCTATTTCCGTAACCTTCCCCGCTAAACCCCCACCCCAGCCCCCCCTCGTGCCCCCCGCTCTACCCTGGCAGTATACTGGTATACTGTTAGGGTAGGGAGGGGAAGCAAGAGTGGGAGTTGGGGTGGGGGGCAAAGGTGGGGATGGGGTGGGGATTTGTGAACGAAGCACACAAGTACCTCAAACAAACTGGTGTAAGCAAATGACACCAATGCTACTGGTGTCATTTTTAGACTTACTCATTAGATTTTTTGAACATGCATCACATTAATTTTAAGTCTTTAAAGTCCCACTAAAAAGAACCATAGAAAAGATAAAACCAGACTCATTCATCTCCTGCTGGCTGCTAGCCTGCACACTTTTGTGCACAAAGGATATTCACATATTGATTGGTCAACTCCTCGTTGCCAAAAAAGTTACATCATCCGCAAATGCAAATAAAACTATAGCCAAACGGCAAAATGGAGAGGGGCCGGGATGCAAGGGTTGAGGGTGGGGTATAAAAAAACAATCTCGGGTTCAACGGAATGGACCAATGTCATAATGACATTTGAAACCACTGTCAAAAAATCTATGCGACCAAAAATAATATCCAGATTCTAGAATCGAATCACTAGTTTCCAAGAAATTAGTGTGGGGTTAAAAAACACACTATTTTTCTCTTGCGCAACAAGTTCAACCACACCGTTTTATGAGATGGAGGGAGTAGAAAGTCAAATACTCAATGAGTACCAACCAAAATAGAGCGATTGATTAACCTTTGACCGAACGAAATAGGCAATTTGTATCATAAGCATGTTCACTACGTTTAATATATACGTACTATATAAAGTTACAACAAAAAAATTTAATGGTACAACACTTTGGTGCTGATAAAGCAGCATTTTAGATTCATAAGTAGAGACACATTCCTCTAATAGTCTATGTCATAAATCCCACTACAAAAAAAATGATATACCATTCAAGAACAATTTAAAATCACCTCATCGCAGTGGAAATGCTCGAAGTTGCATATATCTTCAGAGACTGCTCCGGTACATAGGTGAGGCCTGTCATGGCACAACATCTCTTCAGCGGTATATACATACTGTATTCAACTTTACACAAATTTTATTAAAGCGCGTGGAGTTTTCGGGATCCCAACCAATTAAATCCGAATACAACCATAATTTGATACACCGTTTCCTCTTCTTTGTTATATATAGATCATCAGTGTTGTTAGCACATATGGATAACATGGATCACGGGTGTATCTGCCTGCTGTATTAGCATCATTTTAAAAAAATGTCACACATACCTTTCTCTTTTACATCAATCTGGAAGGAATCAAGTGTGATAATGCCATCTGTCAAGGGAAGCACCTCAAGTTTGATTGTGGCAGTGGATTGAGAAGGAACACAACTGCAAGCAAGCGTAGCGTGAGTTGAGCTTAAACTTTGAACAAGTAGAAGGAATTCACACTTCTAGCCCTCCAATTTTGTAGGTATAACTGAATTTATCATACTTAACTTGTTTATGACTCAACCAAACAAGACTTTTTTTGGGGACAAAAATTAAAGAGGACTTTTTATTGGGAGGGAGTGAGCATAATTTAGATGCAATCAGTACATGCCATTAAAATCGCCATTAGATATTATCTAGAGTTTATAAGGGGACATTTTTGTCATTTATATTCCAAAAATGCCCTCATATATCTTAATGTTAAACGGTGAATTTAACACATGGGACTAATTTATCTAAATTTTATCCATTGAGAGATACTAACTTTACAAAATCTGAAAGACAAATCTCAGATTACATAATGTCAAATGATTGAGGACTATAAGTGCAGTTTTCCCATTAAATAAATGCATATTATTAGAGAGAGAGAGAGAAGACTCTTACCCCAAGGGAACCTTACTCTGCAACCATAAATGTGTGCAACCCAAATCATTACTTGGAAGGGCATCAGGTAGGGAAATGGCCTTCTCATTGTTCATTCTTTCTGAGAGCTCGGAAGAGCCAAGAAAGGGGCTAAGTGGTGATGTTGGAGAAGAACTCAATGACAACACAGAAGGCGGTGAAGTAAAGGAAGATGGGGCCCGTACTGTCATCGTCAAATCTTCAGAAGTCAAATTTGATGCTTGAAGTGTTAGGACCTGTTAAGTTGAGCCCATATTAGGAGACTTGTCTTCCACAAGTTATCACGTACGTGTTGTACAACAGCTATTATAAGAAAATCCAATTCCAAGATTGGCCCGTAATTTGTTTAACATGATTTTGAATGGAGAGAAGCAGGGAAGAGAAAAGCTGGGGAGATAAAGTAAGGAATATCAGCGAATAGTGGAATACTAAGGAAATACTCTTTGTCCAAGTAAACAGTTTCACATATCCTCTTTGGTTTGTCACACATAAAAGGTTCCACTTTCATTTTCAAAAATAAATTGTATGGCTCAAATTATTCCTCTCTCATCGCCATAAATTTCAACCACAGTTTCATCTTTCTTAAGAGCCATGGCCAGTTAACTTTGGAGCCTTATTATGGGAGAGAGGGAGTATGGCTTTACAAGGAAAAAAAACCTTTGATTTCTCTTTTATTTCATTCCTGATCCTTTCATTCCAAACACACCAAAAATCTACTCATTTTCTCTTGCTTCTGACTTTCCTACCTTAATCACTCCGCATCCAAACATCTGTAACAAGGCATTATATAAAACATGTACTGCAAGCTTGCCAGAAGATGAAAACAAAAACCTGTACTGGAAGCTGAGCCCCGCTCTCATCAGAAACTAGAGTTTGTTTTGACATTTCTGATGCAACAGATATCATCAAATCCCTAAATATCCGCGGTCGCCAGCTTGTGGGCTGTTTGAAGAACAGCTTAGACTCTACAAATACCATACAGAATAGAGTATATAAAAAGAAATTACGAGACAGAATATCAGTAAAAGGTTGACTAGAGTGGATTAAAGAAGGGATACCAGTATAATTGCATGCACATGATACAAGAATAGCATACTTATCAGCAGTTGACGAGAAATTGTTCCCCACAACATTTGAGGAATGCTGCAATGTTGATACAACATTTCTCGTTTTCATATGTGGTAACCATGAAGTTTTCTCACTGTTACCCTTGGAGTTTTTCCAAGTGCGGGGGGCTGGTTTGAGAATAAAGGAGTGTTCCTCACCTCTCCTGCCAAGATAACCTAATAGTTACCAATCTGAAATTTGCAAACAACATATTCCAACAGGCCGAATTTTCAATTTTGAGGACCACGGGTCATAGGTGATGTAATGAAATAACATATTTAAACAATCATACTAATTTTAAAAGAAAAATGGCTCCAGATTTTATTTACACGACAAATAAAGTTCTATAATAGAAAAACCTGAGAGCCAAATCCGGTAAACAATGATCATTCCCAGCTTCAATGCATGCAATGGGTAATGATAAAGGAGGTCCACTTTGTGATGCTTCTTCAAAGACAACTGCAATGGCATCTATATACAAGACAAGATCTGGTGTATGTTCTGGAGCAATGTTCTGTAAAATTCAGTTTAGCATTTTAAATGACGAAAAATATAGTTGTATCAAGTAATATCCTCTTTCATTTATCATTTCCACAAAAAAAGTTGAGAATTTGTAAGAGGATTCATGAGGGTGCATGGATATAGACAAAAGGAAGGTAATGATGAGCAGTGAACTAATCCAAAATAAATTGGGTAAGCGAGACCAACCTTTACTTGAACACAAATGAGATCATCTGAATTGCAGTTGGCAGAAAAAGTTTTGACTTCTAATGGTTCGATAATTTCAATTTTCCTTCTCCATCTCCTTCCGGGCATAAACACCCCTTCCAAACCACAATGACCCGAAAACCTTTCAGGCTCCAAGGACACACCTCGAAAAGACAAAAGGCTTTCATTCCTGCTATTTTCACTCTTGATTGCCTTCTGAAATGAGAACTGTTCCCAATTTTCTGGATCAAAATTGGGTATGGAATTAGAGTTTGAAGCAGATGACGGCTGTACACTATTTGACGGAAGTGAGGACATGGAGTAACTTCTAAAGTTCCCAAAAGAGAAAAGCTGAGAACCAGTTGCTGGTGACGAAATGACTCTTGCGGATGAGGTGCGTATAGAAGGAGAATAACTAAGTTGAGGAGGGGAAGGAGGTTGGACTGGAGGAAGAATCTTATTATCCAAAGGAAGCACCCACTTCAAGAGCTCATCACAAGGATCTTGATCTACGTAAGTCAAACTTTTCCAACTCCCAGAAGGCAAATTTTTCTCCGGAGGTCTCTCAAACTGAAGTATTTCCAGTATAGGATCTCTGAAAAATTCAACACCAACATTTACCTGTAAACATATCTGCATCCTTCCAGATAAGAAAATTGAAGCACATCAGTTGTCCACCAACACTAAAAAAACACCAATGGAGAATATATTAAGTTTGATAGTCAACGAGGGTGTTCGCAAAATGGTTTTGAGAAACCATTTCAGAAAAGTGTAAGAGATGCTTTAAATTGTAGCTTCTCCAAAATGAAGTTTGGAGAAGAAATCTGCTGTGGAAATAAGGTGGAATCAGTTTTTCAGTGTTTGATACATTCAAGAATTGCATTTCAAAAACTGGAAGCCAAAAGCTATTTGCAAACTTAACCCATGGAATACAATCTTTATTAATACAACTAAGCCTTATCGCAAGTAACTTGGATATGTTATATGAAGCAAAACAAGAGAATTGCGTTCAGTCATTCACAAAAAAATTCTCTCCATTTCTTCCTATCAGTTATCACACTCTTGTCCAAATTTAGATTGGACAAATCATTCATAATCATCTCCTCCCACATCTTTTTGGGTCTCCCCCTTCCTCTTTTGTAAAATTTCTTCCTTCAATCCTCAAGTCTTTTACAAACTTCATGAATAGATAACTAAGTTTTACTGTAGTATATTGTGATGGAAATGTCACAATTCTCAAATATCATGGTGTGTTTGCTTAAAAAGATGTCAAGAAAGAATGTATCTATTACTGCATAGCACCCACTTTTCGACTTGTGAAATTTTTTTACACCAACAGGAATTTTCATCACAACCATGAGAGTACACCCTCTAGACTAGCATCAGCAAGTCATAATTAGTAAAGTTACAGCTGATTCCTCTATTCTTTACACATTGTTGTGTTTTGCAGACCATAAATATGCACACACATATATAATGGTAAGTGGTAACTATATCATGCGGGAGAGATGAATATTCAAACATAAAAATGAATAATATTGCCTTGATGCATACCACTATATCTCCATTAGGAAGGGCACAGCACTTGATAGCATTTCGTGCCACCCCTCCTGACCTTATGGCATCAAAATTTCCCCTTTCAATTGCCGTACTCGGAGAGAGTTCATTTTTCAACTTGTTTCCTATCTTAGCAGATGCGTCTTTCACAACTTTTCTTTTATCCCATAGGTTCTCATCTGCTTCGGCAATTCGAGCAAAGAAGTGAGAATTGTTCATTCTTAGCAGCAAGGATTCTGTCTGTCTTTTATGCTCCTCCTGTCTTAGAAGAGATTCACCAGCGGAAACTTCATTTTTAGTATCACATTTTCCTTGTTCTGAGATCCCAGTATGATTCATATAACCACTGTCACTTATTTCTGTTCCATCAGAAACAGGATTGATCTCAGTAGCTGTGCAGCCATTTCCTTTCCTGCTGCGTTGACCTAACCCATTCTTGTTCATTAGTGCAGCAACTTTGAATGGAGTAATAATTTCTGTTTCCTGCTTATATGCTGATAAGCATGCAAAAACATTGACTTGTTCACCTGCAATTCGAACAAAAATATCCAAACGCACAAAAGTTTAAAAAATAAGTATTGTAACTTGAAGAGAAGACGGAAAATTAAGTTGCAATAAGTAGCTACCAGGAATAACAAAGAAGCGGTCCAGTGAGCGTAAAGAGGTTATATCAGGTGCCTCGCTCCAGTTATCAGGAAGCTTTTCTGGAAAGGTATATCCCACTTTAGTAATACTTCACAAAGAAATGAGTTTAATTTTTAAGTTATAACAGTAATCATTGAGATAATTGACACCACCAAAATCCATAACAGTGGTCTACATGGAATGCAAAATCGTGGGTGGGTGGGGATGGGAGTAATAGTCTATAGGGCCTGGTTCATCCAAAGAATTTAGACAATGACATTACTGTAGTTGGTTCATAAAGTTAACAGAATGAACCAGTAACACTTTCATGGACAGGGAATGCTTCATTAATCATAACTACACTCTATTGACATCTTTGCTAGACACAACTCCTGCATTCATAATACGGAGTGCTGATTCGCAGGGCGGGTATTTTGTGTGAATATGCAAACTAAAATACCACCCAATAGCAAGCAAAACAGAGCTCTACAAGACAATGAGAGGCAACGAGATAATACCCTTTGGAATAGCTATCCACCCTTCATCTTCAGTGACCTCAATGTGGCATCCCATTCCACTTATCCCAACAGCACCTCCATTTTCATTCCCATGTTCATAGTCCCCTACATCACAGTCCCCAGAGTACGTGTCTTGCTGGAATGAATCTTCAGCAATCAGGCCCTCTAAACTAGAACTAGGTTTTGATACGGAATTCTTATCTGCCTGAGTTTCCCGAGCGGGCGACGACTCTGGAGATGCATTCTGATTCGACCGCATCAACAGAAAATTCATTTTTGCACAAAATTTACCACTGCAGCTGTTGAAAATGAACCTCCCGTAACGATTAACTTCAATTATAAACACTCAGGTTGGTGAAATGTCTCAGTACAGAGAAATATGCATCCGATCTGCTACACTAATGAAGAAAGCAACTAATTTAGTCCACAATTACCAACGAAAATCCGACAAGCGAACCAGAGATCCAGCGTAGTCCTCTATATTGGAACATGGATACATCATACATATCGTTGAAATGAATATATTTCGATCAATTGCACATGAAAGTAAACACGAATTCGGAAAAGAGAGATGGAGAATAACCTTCTGATGGAAGCCGGACGACGCAGAGGAGGAAAGAGTTAAGAGCTGAAGAACTGGGATCGGGAGGTTGAAGGAATGAATTAGGATCGGGCGTTAATGGAGTCCTGAACTAGTGTTAAAGCTGGAGACGCAAAACATAAAAGTACGGGCTACGGAGTATCAAAGTATGGGTCATTTTGGAATTGAAATGTTCTTTTAATTACTCCGTATGATACAAAGAGTTTAATTGGTATATAAATAGTGTCTACTAAATGATTTTATTAGATTTATTATGTAAAAATGTTAATGATCTGCTCAATTTGAGTAAAGATGACAAGGTATATGTAGATTAATATTTTAAGATAAATCGAGTGATAAATATGGTAATAACACATTAAATACGATGGTCAATTAATCATTAAGTCCTTGGAAAAGACCAGATCTTCTGGAGGTCTTATTAATTATGCGAACATTCATGTCCATTCATGAATTTTTGAATCTATAAAATAGAATCCCATGGTATTGGTTGAGGATAGGATCAAATTTTGAGTGCTTGTTGTTGATTGACATCTTATCTGATTAAAGTATTTCATATATCCCGAAATAACTTTGATCTAAAATTGTTTATACACGATTCGTTATACTATCGAGTTCTTTATCAACACTGCTCCGCAGTGTTCTTCCTAATAAAATTTCTTTCAAGGTGTTTCTAATTGAAAGAGTGAAGTGCGTTGCTCGTATAAGTGTAATCTCTCTTGTACATTTCTCTACATAATACAAATTCATTATTTTCTAAAGTCGTGTCTTTATATTATTGAGTATGTCGTGAGTACACAAGAGTTTGGTTGTGTGAATAAAAAAAATAGATCGAGACTCATATCAATTCCCAAACAATTTTAACTCATCAAATATTCCTTTCGTAAACATTAATTCTATAATCTACATAGGATAAAGAAAACAATTCCAATGTGTTAGAGTGCATGAATATGAATACGCATGTAACATGAATTTCATTTGACATTATATACTCCCTCCGTCCCTAAATAAACTTTCATTTTTAACTTTTTGAAGATTTAAAGGAGGGATATATTTTTGTGTTAACTTTCCAAAAATATCCTTGATGTGATGTGTAAAAGTAAGATGTGATAGATAGATTATTAGTAAAAAGATATGATGTGATAGGTAGGGTATGAAAAAGTAAGGGGTAAAAAGGATTTTTAAAGGAAAAAGAGATGTTTATTAGGGGACAAAAAAACGAAAGATAAAGTTTATTTAGAGACGGATGAAGTATGTTCATTGATGGACTTCCACTAAATGATGAAATCTATCAATTCTTTTTTGTAAAAAGTAAATTTTATCCAGAGAATGCAGCTAGTTAAATACTCCATCCCCCTAAAAAAATCTATGTTTTTGATTTTTTTTAACTTTTATTAAAAAAAAAATTTTACCCTTACTAATTTTTACTCTCTCTATTAAATATAATATTTGTTCAATATTGAACTACAATCTTATTCTACTTTTACCAAACACATCAAGAATAATTTGAAAAAGTAAAAATAAAAGTATTAGTCTCTTAAAGTTAAAAGGAGAAATTTTTTGGGATGATAGAGTACATCTTTCGTTTGAATATACTACCTCCGTCTCATAAAGTGTTACTCATTTTGACTAAAGTAGAAATTAAGAGATGGATAATTTTGTGTTGACTTTCAAAAAATACCATTGATGTGATGGGTAAAAGTAGGATGTGATGTGTAGATTATTACTCCCTCCATTCCAATTTATTTGCAACACTTCGAACGACGTGCAAAATATCACCTCTTTTAAAATCACTTTAATTTCAAATTGGTAGAGTAATAAAAAGTAAAAATTACACAATTCAAAAGTATATGAAAAGTTCTACAAAACAAGAAGAGCGACAAGAATATTTTATTTTATCAAATGGTCAACCAAAACGAGTAAACAAACAAAAGTTATCGAGAGGCCGGAATAGTAAACGTGGCATTCTTTCTGGGACGGAGGGAGTAAGAAAAAGGTATGATGTGATAGGTAGAGTTTGAAAAAGTAAGGGGTAAAAATAGTTTTTTAATAGAAATGGGTAGGAGATTGTGGGACACGATCTTTTTGAAAAGTGTAAATCTTTTTGGGACGGAAGAGAAAAGTGGAATTATTTTAGTATTATTGATTCAATTACAATGTACGGAGCAATATTTATGTTGATAGCAAATCAATCACAATTCACAAGTATTGAAATTTGAAGAGAAAAAGAGAAGGCATTTCCGTGCATGCAAAGAGAAAGGAAAGCTGAAATTCACATAGCTCTGATTTAATTTGTTGAAGGGGAAAAGGTGAAAAAATGGTGGCACAATTTGAAATATCAAATTTTAATTATAATATTGATTTATTTTGAACTAAATTTAATTCATGATAAATGGGTTTCAGAGCGTGAGCAAAAAAGTTAAATTTTGGTCATCTTTTAAGGATGAAAAAAGTACTTTAAACTTCCACAAATGTTACTTCCACCATCTTCAAATTCTGTTTCTAATTAACTTTTCATCATCTTCAATGCAATATTTTGACCCATCGTTTATATTATAATGCTCTAATTAATTGTTGTTAGTATTTCGCACCGGAATTCATATGAATATGGTACAAATCAATGTATGGAATAATTTTCCAGATAAATATGGCACAAAAGTATTTTATTCTTTTCAGTCATCACCATAACAAAGCTTATTAATATACAGGCGCCATATCGTTATGCTTTAATTCAAGAAAAATAAACGAATAAAGAAGAACTAATCAATGGAGTTCAAGAATCGCCATTTCATTTTCCGGCTTACCGTCCTTTAATTTCCTTGATGTAATGAGTAGATAATTAGTAAAATGTATGATATGATAGGTAGGTTAATAATTAATAGAGATAAAAGTGTTTTTAATAGAAAAATTAAGAATTTTTGTAGGAAAAAAAGGAAAAGAAAAGAAATTTTTGAGATGGAAGAACTACACAAAAAAGGTATGTATGGAAGATTATTCTTTGTTTACATAAACCTCTTTTTTACATTGGGTCTCTCTGGAAATAGTGTTACAGATTAGCGTTAGAATTTGGATAAAATTTTAACGGTGTAGATTATTTTGAAAACGCTAACGCTAGACGCCTGCTGTCGTAGATATTCTTCTCAAAACGCTAACGCAAATCGCTAAAACTATTTTTAAAGAAACTCATTATAATGCTAATTATTTGTTGTTGGTATTTATCACCAGGGAACTCATTTGAATATGGCACAAATCAATGTATGGAATAATTTTCCAGATAAATATGGCACAAAAGTATTTTATTCTTTTCAGTCATCACCCAAACAAAGCTTATTAATATACAGGCGCCATATCCTTATGTTTTACTTCAAGAAAATTAAACGAATAAAGAAGAACTAATCAATGGAGTTCAAGAATCGCCATTTCATTTTCCGGCTTATCGTCGTTTCCTTGGCCGTATTTGGTGCCCCCGCGGTGGGCGGCTACCGGACTGGGTCCGGCATGGTGGTTCACGAAGACCAGACAATGCCATTTGGTGGTCCAAGAACAGAGGAGTTCGCCGGCGGCAGCGGCGAGTGGGTGCTTCTACAGGGCAGCGTCGGCGTCTCCGCCATGCACATGCAGCTCATGCCGGACAACAAGGTGGTGATTTTTGACAGGACGGATTTCGGAGCGTCCAACCTCTCCCTCCCCGCCGGGAAATGCCGGTACAACGACGAAGTCCTTCTTGAAGACTGCACGGCTCATTCTCTTCTCTACGACATTTCCACAAACACCTTCCGGCCTCTCATGGTCCGGACCAACGTCTGGTGCTCCTCCGGCAGCCTCGACGCCAACGGGACGCTCGTCCAGACCGGCGGGTACCACAGGGGAGACCGGAAAATGCGGACTTTCACTTCTTGCGACGGCGGCGACTGCGATTGGGTCGAGCTCGAGCATAATCTCACAGTCCAGAGATGGTACGCCACCGATCAAATTCTTCCCGACGGCCGAATCATCATTGTCGGCGGCCGGCGAGCTTTCACTTACGAATTCTTTCCCAAGATCAAAGACGGAAACAACGGGGCGTATCTACTCCCGTTCTTGGTGGAAACCGACGACCCGAGAGAAGAAAACAATCTTTACCCGTTTTTGTATCTCTTGCCGGACGGGAATCTGTACATCTTCGCCAATCAGCGATCCATAGTTCTTGATTACCATCAAGATCGGGTGGTCAAGAGATTCCCGCCGATTCCCGGCGAGAAGCGGTCGTACCCGGCGACCGGATCGTCGGTGATGCTGCCAATTCGTTTAACAGGGTACCCACCGACTCCGTACCCGGCGGTGGAGATTTTAATCTGCGGCGGCAACAAGGGCGGCGCGTATCTAAAAGCGGACAAGGAGCACGTGTACGAGCCGGCGTCGCGGACGTGCGGGCGGATGAGGATAACCGACCCGAATCCGATCTGGGTGATGGAGCTCATGCCCATGGGTCGGGTCATGTCGGACATGCTGATCTTGCCGGTGGGAGACGTCATCATTCTCAACGGCGGGTCAAAGGGAACGGCCGGTTGGGAGGACGGGGACGACCCGGTTTACCACCCGGTTCTTTATAAACCCAACGAACCGGACCCGAGTAGGAGATTCTCTGTGCTCAACCCCACCACAATCCCAAGAATGTACCACTCCTCCGCTATCCTACTGCCAGATGGCAGAATCCTAGTGGGCGGAAGCAACCCCCACCCAAGGTACAACTTCACGGCGGAGAGATTCCCCACAGATTTGAGCCTAGAGGCGTTCCACCCGCCGTACATGTCGCCGGTCTACGCCCGGCTCCGCCCCTCGATCCTATCGATCGAGTCGGCCAGCGGCGGAAACGCGATAACCTACGGCGAGACATTCTCCGTCACGTTTGGGGTGCTGGAACCGCCGCAGGACGGCGGCGGACTCGCCGTGAACATGATCGCGCCGTCGTTCACCACCCACTCATTCGCCATGAACCAACGGATGTTGGTGTTGGACGTTTATGCCCTCCAACAGCTCTCTCCGCTTACGTATGAGATTACCGTTTTTGCCCCTCTTACCCGTAACATCGCACCCCCGGGGTATTATATGGTGTTTCTAGTCCACCGAGGCATTCCTGGGCATAGTATCTGGATTAGGATGCGTTGATTTTTGTCACTAGATACCCAAAAGAATTGTTATTAAAACTTGTACAAGATTTTGTGTGTATGTCAATATGTGTGTGTGTTTTTTATGGAGTTAAACAAAACCACAGCATTTAATTTTTGTCACGTACATGCAGTATATATATGGTGTAATTTAATTTCTACATGTAAAAATATTATTTGGACTGGAATAATTAAATCCGGTGTGTGGGTAATTAAATGTACTTGGTATGAAGTTGATCCGGCGTGTTATCTTAAAGGTGTTTCTCTGTACTAGTTTTATTCATTTATTACAAATAAATAGTTTTAAACTTATAAGTTGTTCAAAAGTCGTATATTCTCTCAAGAAAGTAAAATGACTTAAATAATAAATAAGCCATTAGGAAATATTCATAAATAATCAGAGATATTTTTGTAAATAATCTGGTCCAAACGGAGAAATGAAAAAAATGACTCAAAAATAAGTAACTAAGACCTATTTATTTTTTATGACTTATAAACAGCTTATAAGTATACAGAAACATGTCATCAGCTGATTTATATAATTATATGTAAAAAATTGTTTATAAGCAGTTTTGACCATCTTATACTTACAAAGAAAGGCACACATAAAGTTGTTTTATGAACTTAATTCTTTTATTATGATTGATACTCTTTTTCATAGTGTATTGAACTAGCTAGAACAGACTACGTTCTTTTCATCTGATCTAGATAATTCTGATCTAATTCTAATAACAATAAGTAAAAACAAAAAAAAAGTTGAGTACAGCATCGCCTACAAATGAAATTGCACGAAAAATTGAGCCATAACGAGGCAGCCAGTGCATGTAAGGCACGTAGATGAATTGGTGAAAGTGGATATAAATGGTCTAATGTAATGTATGTATGGATGTGTAGGTTATTAATTAAATAAAGTGTAATGGTAGGTGATTGATATCCGCAGTAGACCTCTTTAATTTCTGCCTTAAAACGAGAAACAGTTACTCATCTTATTAGTTTCTATGATATGTTAATAATATATATAATGAAATTAAAATTTAAAATTTCTCAATAAAATAAAAATAATACTCTTAATCTCTTATTTTATACTCCGTAATAAAATACAATATGATACGGAGTATTTAATTAATAAATTCAAAACTTTTCTAGTTTGATGCAAAAAATCAAACTTAATAAATACATTGGAAGAGAGAAGTATTAACTATTAGGCAACTACTCCCTCCGTCCCAAAAAGATCTTCATGTTTCATTTTTTGTGCATCTTATAAAACACTTGTTTCATTTTTTGTGCATCTTATAAAACACTTCTATCCACTGGCAATTGCCCCCAATGAAATATATATTTGCAATGTAAAAAAATTTGTTTTATTGTTAAAATTTTATAGGAATTACCAGCTTGCCCCCATTTAATTTTGGAAAAATTACCATTGCCCCCAACCTAAACAAAAAGACTAAATGAAGACAAAAATTTACCTAACCAAATGCAATAAAAAAATTCCAAATGCAATAAAGATTAAATGTTATTAATAATTCTATTCCAGATAGACTTCAAATGACTCCACTACGTTTCTTCTTCTCACTAAGGGCAAAAAATAGAGTAGACCTCTTCTCTAATTATCCTTTTATATATAGAATTTTCGCATTTTTAGTCTAAAAATGATTTTATGTAGTGTGTTACTTTGTTAACAATTGTTGGCGAGTGCTTCTATAGTGTACCTTGAGTGCATTTTTTTTTTGTACATCTTCTCTCATAAAAATTCATTTTTTTTATTTTTTAATTTTTTGTTAAAATAAATGCTCATATAGATAATTAGGATTTATTTATTTACATCATATGTAGACACATGATGAACTTAAGGTCCATCATAGAATCTGCCACTATTGACAATTGAATTTGTTAGGAAATAAAATAGGACTATAGGAGTAAAGAAAGCAAAATATTGCAAAAAATTGTGTTTAAAAATTTTAGGACTCTTTGGTTGATATTTTACAAAGCTTATTTTGTGAAATTGTGGTTAAAAAAAAGCTAAAATAGTGTAATGACTTATACAAAGTGTTTTTAGAATGTTCTAATATTTTACAAACATAGATGTAATTGATCGTTTTCAACAAATGAAAATTCGTTTTTAAAAAAGAAAACTCATAGAGAACAATTATAGAATGTATATTTGTTTTAGTTTAATTACATGGTTTTTTTATTTTAATTTATTTTTATTATATTTGTGCTAACCAAATCTGCCCCCGATGAAAAAAAATTCTGGATCCGCCACTGCTTCTTTCCCGCCTCAAATGCAAAAAAAACTTTCAAAACAACTTCTATCCACAATAAATGAGAAATGTGGTAAATTTTAGGCATTTTAGATGTGTGTAGAAGTGTTTTATAGGATGCGCAAAAAGTCAAACAGGAACATCTTAATTTTTGGAACGGATGAAGTAACTATTAGTTGGTGGCAGTGGAAAGGCACAAGTCATGAGATGGCTCTCTCTCATGGAGTCTTACTAGCTTAGTTAATTCATTGAACTAATTAGAGATAGATAAATAGACAGATGCATATGAAGACCCATGAGAGTGATGAATAAGACCCAAAGAGGAGCCACCGGTCACTGTGTTGCGCCCATTGGTCCCCAAATATATTAATCTTGGGCCAATCATGATGGATCCTTTCACTTTAAATTACACCCGGCCCCTACGTGCAACAAAAAAAAATGTCATGTTATCAAAATGAAACAAAATTTAGAGTTTTTTTAAATTTAATTTATTCAAGAGTATTTTAGAAATAAAAAATACGCATTTCAAAAGTACTTCAAACGGTGACAATAATAGTTTATTGTATCAAATAATCAATAAAACTAGACAAAATTTCTAATAATTATTTTTGAATAGTAAAGTATGACGTTCTATTTGGCGCAGAGGAAGTAAAATGTATTTTGAAAATAAAGCTTAGTGGATGTTCCTCTGTGCTTATAAGCTGGTCAAAATTGCTTATAAAGAGTTTTTAACTTATAATTCGGCTAATGACATGTTTCTGTGTGCTTATAAACTGACTTATAATAAGTTGCTTATAAGTCGGAAAAAATAAACAGGTCTTAACTACTTATTTTTAAGTTAATTTTTTTATTTCTCCATTTTGACCAGGTTATTTATACAACATCACAATTTATGAATATATACAAATGATTTATCTATCATTTAAGTCATTTACCTACATGAAAGAATATTTAAGCTATAAGCAGCTTATAAACTAAACATTACTTATCAGTAATATGTTAGTAAACACTACTAGAGAGATACACGCCCTTGGTATCACATGAAAATAAGTTTGGTTTTGACGACTACACATTGAAATGAAAGCGTTGGTTGTGAGTTGTGACATTTACCAAATTGTAAATAAAGTAATTTAAAAAAATAATAGAATTTTGCACGTTGTTCAGAACACGAAGCTTATTGTTGAACGGGGAGAGTATAAAAAAACATATCCTCCCCGGACGACGCGACTTTTGCGAGATTCTATTGGGTTGTTGTTAGGGTGTTGTGTTTATTAAAAAAACATGCATATATCAAGATTAGAGATATTGCAAAACCAAGTCAAACTCAATTTGGAGTAAAAGTGAGTGAGATCTCTTGCATGCCATATTTGGAATATGTGAAGAGCAGTGATTGGCGAGGTGAGGTGAAGAAGTTGATTGGGTATGTATATGGCTTGCCATTCAACAATTAATTAACTACATACTATTCCTTGGTTCAGAGAAATAATGTGGCACAGTAATAAATGAGTAAATGTGTTGTCTAGCTGCTGGCTGTCACATTTATCACCCAGTACTAATATTAAATCCCCAGCAGTACAAAACCAGACTTCATTTTATGTCATACAAGACGACAAATAGAGGGGCAAAAACAAAGAAAGAAAAAAAGAAAAAATTGACACAAGGAATCGCGGAATAAAAATAATTGGAGATGCGGGGTATCGATCCCCGTACCTCTCGCATGCTAAGCGAGCGCTCTACCATCTGAGCTACATCCCCATTTGTTTTCTTGCGTTGACGTTTTTTAATATATATGAAAAAGACGTGTGAGAGAGGTTAGGGCTCACCTTACCTATCGAGTTCTTAGAGCATCTCCCCAGTCCTTTTTATTTGATGCATTTAAAGGTGTGGCTCATTAATTTTTATGTTTACAAATTACAATACGGAATATTTGTTTAATGTATATTTATTTAATACATATTTTGAATTTCAAAGTATTTAGTTTCAAATATTTTAAAGATTTTGTGTATTTGTTTAAAATATAAGATATTTAAAAATAGATTACGTGGATGAAAGATAATAATTGAATGAATCCATTTTATCCAGTAATTAAAAGAGATGAGGACACTACTTTATAAGAGACTTTTTAAATCGGTTGTTTTAACATCTTGTATCGATTGAGAACCGATGCAAAAAGTAGCGATGCAATTGGTGCAAATACTTTTTGCATCGGTTGTAAAAGCGATTCAAAAAACTACCTCAGAACGACAGTCCTAGGCAAGACTTTTTGAATCGGTTATTCCATTTCTGGAAAAGACTTTTTGAATTGGTTATTTTGGAACAACTGATGCAAATGATATTTTTTTACAACACAGAATAGAACATTCATATATACCAGCAGAACAAAACAGGACATGCCAAACAGACTTGTAGCAGAACAAACTGACTAAAAGAGACTCGATCATAGCATATTCACCCAAATCAAAATAACAAAACATTTAACAAACTATAGCACTACAATTAAATAACTAAAATATATATTGATTTTCACAAAAACGTTATACAACTAAATACAAACATATAAATTCAAACTAATTCATCAAGAAAATCCCTCACCCAAAACTCTCTAACCTCTTCCAATTAGGTATCTGTGTACAGCGAAGTAGAATGAAACACATACAATACGAACGAAAACATATAACAATAAATTTCAATAATCTACAATAAAGAACAAGAGACTTTAGTTATAAGAACAAACAAAAACAAACTTACATCAGATAATGGTATGGAACACTAAGCACACAAAGTGACGGTGAGTCATACAAATTGCATAGTTTAATATCCACACTCTGCCCCCGAGTTGTTGTGGTACTTCGGGAAAATCAAACCAATCTGGTCGAGCCTTAAGCCGAGGCATATTCCTTTCCCGCAGCAACCGCCAAGACTTTTAATCAAAACATAAAAAACAAATCAATTAGAAATAAAGTGAATAAATTCTAACCCCGTGAATAGTGAACAAGAACATTATTATTGGACAGAGGAAGTGCATATTTATTGGCGGGAAAAAAAATCTAAGTAAATTTTAAAATGGTACTCAATAACGATCTGAGTAAACAAAAGCATATATTAGTATATATGCCTTTGTTTGCATGGGTAGGGTGCAACATTGAGATTGTCATGTGCGACGAAGACAGTAACTTTCAGGCTCTGTGATTTTGCAATGAAGACAAAGGCTTGGATTAGGGTTATGAGGGATAGCTAAGGACATGGAGGAGTAATTTAATTGATAGACGGGTGTGAGAAATTACCGCTTTAACCACACATTGAACAAGTAGATAACAGTAAAAGTGACGGAGGACTGGTCGTGAAAAAGAACCAAAGAAACAGGAATTACGCTTGTAATTTTTGATAAATAAGAACTAAATATGGAAAGCTGTATATAGAACGAGAAATTATTTATATGTACTGATCTTGTCCTATTTTAAAACAATTCAGAATGAGTTCGGGACAATTTTAGCTACTCATCTTACCTACTCCTTCGTTTCCATCTCTCCTCATCTTACCTACTCATTCTTCTTCCACAGATCCCAGAGGCGAACATATTTTTCTTCCACAGATCCGAGCAGCGGCTCCTCTCTTACTCTTTTTTTACACTAATTCTATCGCCTTTACCATTTGGACTTTGAAAATTTCAATTGCCGTCTTCATTTGCTTTGCACGGAGTAATGATTAAGGATACATCATGGCAACGGAGGAGACGAGCTTGCCTGTGCAGGGATAAGCTTCATTTCATTGATGCGGCGTCAATCCTTCGCTCTCTGCGAGAAATCAACCAAACCCTAGCGCAACCGCTTCAAAGTCAGAGAGAACAGAGGAGAGAGATCTTGTGGAGTTCTGTCCATGGAGAAAACCTGAAAATCGTATTTAACACACCTTAATCCAATTTCTCTCATTGTTGACCTGTGGATGAAGGAGACATCAGGTATGAGTCATTGTCCAAACACCCTTATGGGACACACGCAGACGTTATTTATTGAATTTGCTGCCTGTTATTTGTTGCCAAATGCCCCCACATAGAATGAGAGAAATTCTACAGCTTTTTGTTGGGACTCTTGTATACATTTTGGTACACATCAAGCATCGAGGGATGAATAAATTATATAGGTATTGATGATGCCAAAATTGATACCCTTAGTTGAAAATGTATATAATGTCCAAACAATTGGACTTGACCTTTGAGAAGAATTTACTGAACGAGTTCAAATAATGACAGGTGTAGGAGATTGAAGACAGTTATTAAAAGAACACAGGTGCAAATTATGTGTTCTGTTCAAGCCTTCAAGTAATTGTTGCAAAGACGATAAAAAATTTAAGAGATATGTTTGATGCTATTAATTCCTAAATAATAGGAATGGCTTTTTTTGTCAAAAAAAAATAAGAATGGTTAAGAAGTATGGTTATTTAAAAAAATAATAAAGGTTAATAAGTAAAAGAAATCCTAATGCAATGATAGAAGAATGTAAATGGAGCATTTATTAGCTAGAAGGGTAGATCTGGAAACACATACAAAAGATAACAAGTTTGTCATACAAAGAGAATAAATTTGGGAAAGTTAATACTTCCAGCCATTTTTACTTACAACAACCAGGTCACTTGAATCTAACTCACTTAGCTTGATCATCTGAACCTTCATCTCCAATTCTTCTTCCAACTTTTGAATGGTTCTTTTCTCCTCATGCACTTCCTCTTCAAGCTCTCTCACCTTCTACTCTAGAATGACACAAAACCTTAGTACACCATCGTAATTGTCCAATATATCATTGTCCTCAACCTGTGAATTGAAGATTGACCTTGTGTTTAGAATTTTAAATTTAAGGAAGGAAAGAGTTAAAGGGGTGGGTGGACCTACAACGTAAAGGTCGCGGGTGATGAAAAGCTCCTCACGAGCCAATTTCCAGCTCTTCGGTTCGGAGGGCTCTTCAAACTCCGACGTAAACGACCTACAGTGTAAACAACCGTTTGAAGAGCCCTCCGAGCCGGAGATCCAGAAGTTGGTCCGTGAGGAGCTATTTATCACCGGCGACCTTTACGCCGGAGGACCACTCACCCCTTTAACTCTTTCCTTCTCCGAATTTAATATTCTAAACACACGGTCAATCTTCAGTTTGCAGGTTGAAGACAATGTTATCATGGCCAATTACGACTGTGGCTTTGTGTTGTTCTGAGTAGAAGGTGAAGAAGCTTGAAGAGGAAGTGCAAGAGGAGGAGAGGACCATTCAAAAGTTGGAAAAAGAATTGGAGATGAAGGTTTGAGCTTATCAAGTGAGTTAGGTTCAAGTGACCCGGTTATTGTAAGTAAAAATGGCTAGAAGTATTAGCTTTCCCAAACTCGTTCTCTTTTGTAGTAGTTTCCCGATCTACCTTTCTACAATTCTACCTAATAAATGCTCCATTTATGCAACTCTATATGTTTGTATATATAAATTGATTTTGAAATGTTTTCTTCTACCCGCTTGGTCGGCTAATAACCAGTTTTAAAATAAGCAAACAACAGCATGTTGCAAAGAAGCAAGGCGCACAAAAGCAATGGGTTCAGAAGTAAGGCACGAGATGGTAATGCAAGGAACAAGGTTGATGTGCTTATAAATGGATGGTTTTATTTTTTTGTTGTCTATTAAATACTGTGAAACTTTGAGAGGTAATCTCCAAATGGGGTGAACAAATGATACGTATCACTATCATCAACATGTGTTTGATACTTTGATGTGTGCAAGATCATTAGATAGTAGGAGTAGAAGTGAATGGTTTGGAAATGACGTCTTTTGCAAATCATTCTTGCAGTATTAATCAATGACATTCTTTTAAATGCTCGCCTGTTACTTACCCTCACTAGTCATCAATTTATAGATACTAACTTGACATAAAAATTTGTCTACAAAGAAGGTTTCATGATATGTTCATTCTTAACACGTATTGGAACTTGAATGAAACTATTACTTGTATCTTATGCAGATTAAAAATACCTATTCAGAGGCTCTCTTAGAAACATGTGGATGCTTTATTTGCTATTGATGAGGTGTCTTGTGCTAACAAGTGGGGCCATGACTTCAAACAATATTACAGGTTAGCTTTCTTACTAAACCCAAAGGATTATTTAGATTGTGTATACTTTAGTACTCCCTCCGTCCCATATCTTTCTTCGCAGTGCACTATTCAAACTTCACGGGAACTTTTATTTATTAGTGTTTTTTCATGGCCTATATGATTAAAAAAAATATTTTTTTCACTTGTCTTGTTGAACTTTTGATGTAGTTTTTAAATATGTAAGTTTTATTTTTAACTTTTATACTAATATTTATATAAGAAGGATTGAAAAAACTTGGGGTTTTTCTTCGTTTTGCGCAACGTGAAGAAAGATATTGGACGGAGGGAGTATGTTCTGAAGTGGATTATTTGATGTCCATTTAAACATGACCATCATGATTCCCTCCCTATAAGGTGATATCTCCGTAGATGGCTTTTCACTGCTCTTCTTGGGCTAGTCGATTCAGTCTATTTTCAGGGAAAATAAGTATTTCACTGTGTGCATGTATAAATGTATTAATTAAATGACAAATTATGGTAATCAAAATGCAGCTATGGTGGGACAAAGCAAAAAGGTCCTGTTTGTGATGGAAGCCAAATGACTATAAATATTTACAAGGCATTGGTGAGTTGGGCCCTGCCTTCATTGATATAAAAAATCATGGCATCACCCTACCAAAACTAAAATCCCACTTTGACTTCACCCTTATTAAAAATGGCATTGAGTTGCTCATTTTACCCTTGAAATGAAAGTGATTGAAATAAGAGTGCGATTGTAAAAAATGAATGAAAAGATGGTAAAAGGGAAAAAATGGGGGTAGTATGATTTTTTGGCTAGTAAGTTATACCATCTAGAATATTCACAATCGTATTGTCTTAAAAAGCTAAGTTAATTTTTCAATACTGACCTCTGAGTTGAACTAATCACTGGATTAAATATGGATGGTAATTTGTAAACAGATGTGCTTAGACAGTTCTTGAGTCTTCATTGCTAAACCACTACCCTTAAATACATAATTTAGCAATCATTTGCTAACCAATGTCATATGAAAACAAAGTCACACAATATAAACTTTATCGGGTTGGGTGCACACTTTCTTCCTAAACCTTTAGGAGTCGTAGTGTCCATACCATGAGGTCATTGGTTCCCAATCAGCCTATTATTAAAGTTGTGCGGAGTGTATTCTGGAAACACATTCCTTAAAATGCACAGTTTACTCAATAGTGTTAGGTTTTATAATCAACAACCACATTTAATGTCCTTCAAATCTTACTTACCACTAGCTGTGTACATGGCTCATCATCTCCAACCTCTTCTTCAATGGGAATGAAAATCTCTTAGGTCCATCCCTTTCATAAACTACAAACACAATGCTTTTCTCAAGCTGATTTTTTTCCTAGCCTAAAACCTAGACTATTTGTGATGTTGTCTCCTCTTTGCCACTTTGTGCATCAATGCACTCTACTTTTCGACTTGCGTAGTTAAGAAATTAAATATTAAGCTATTAGCCTATTAATAACTTTAACCAAGAATGCTGTATCAGATTGTCAAGGTTAAAATTGTTCAAATGCTATTTCTTCATCGTTTGTAGCAACTGAAACATAATGTTTATGTTTTTCACAATTGTTTTTTCCAATTACGGCTTCTCATAATATATTCTCCTATAAACTTGTTACGTCCGTGAAACATAAGGTAACTTATTACGCAGGTTATCATCCTAATGAAATATAGATTATGTTTGCTTATTTAACTGAAATATATACATAAGGTACTATCATGATATCTCTTCAATATGATAATGATCAGCTCTTAGTGGTTATTGTCATTATACACAATGGCATACACATGTAATGTTGTTTTTAGACCATAATTCTTATTCACAATGACCTTATCAACACAATGCCTTAATTATCTCGTTAGGGACCAGCTCTTAAACACATTGTCTTACAAATGCATTACATTAAGGTGTTTTCAACACAGTGCCCTAGTCCCTATGTCATTGTGTCAAACAAATGAGCAACATGAAGTGAAAATTGTAGTGTCTTAATCATTGTGCACTAGGTTTACTTCTATAGGGTCATTCACATTGTCCTAATGAAAATAATGTCTTAAGGTGTCTGTTTTCACTGTGCCACTTTTTTTAGCCTTGCCCATCTCGTATCATGCAATGTCCTTCATGCCTCTTACCCTAAAATGTCTTCAACACATTATTCTACCATATAATGTTCTATGATTAAGAATTTACATTATCAACCTAGTTAATTTAATTTTTTCAAATATAGCAGATTACTAAGTATTTTGCAAACATAGTGCTTAATCATTCAACTCCCATTCATGACATGAAAATTGAGTTAGAGATTCTGTAATATTGCAGGTAAGTTTTTTTTTTTCCAATTTTCGCACTTTCGATTATATGAAGTTAGATTTTTTTGTGACTAATTATATAAAGACTAGAGATGTTACAGAATTATCCTGGTATGCCTTGTGATTGTGGATAAGAATTTGAAATTTCATTGAGCTGAGATTGAGAAGGAGTTCAATAAGAATTCAAATCAAGAAGATTTGCTACATGTTTATGAAAAATTAAACAACACAAGGAGTATTGAAAAATTAAACAACACAAAGAGTATTCTTTCCACCATTAATTTTATGAAAAGAGAATGCTCTAAAAGATTTTTCCAATACTTAAGAATTTTGTCAACACATATGGCTAGGTGGTTGTTTCATTATACTATTATTATTGTTTTTGGTAGTTTCATTCCACTTATTATTGTTTTTTAATCGAAAGTACTAAATATACAATCACCCTTAATAAGGCATAACAATTTACTTTATTACAGTACTATGAAGTATAAAGTTAACATACTCTTTAGATTGATTCTTCGTATACTCCTAACAGTCCTCTTTTATGGTTACCTCCATCTTATGAATGTTCTTGCTTCTTGTATCATTTCAGCTCTGATGAAGAGTTTGTAGGCAAAGTCATTTGGTCTCTTGACTTCGCGGTGTTTTACAATACCACATAAAGCTTAGAGTTGGCCGATAAATTATTTGTTGTAGTATATGCATCATACCTACTTCAAAGACAATACTTGGACGGTTATGGATTGAAAAACTAGCATACTATGTCATAGGCTTAGTAGAGCAAGAAGTCACATTTATTTTGACAGGATTATACAACTTTCATACGTGGGATGGCAGGTAAGGGCTAGTAAATACAAACAGCCCTTTGCGATTGTGTTGTTTTTAAAAATGGGGTTGAGCATCACGTTTACAAAAAGGTAATGAATATATATACACTTTTGTCTTGAATATGTTAATGTTTTGCTATTATTATAAACTATTTACTTTTGTTAGGATCTTGAAAGTAAATGTAGATTCTTTGAGCTCTTTGAGGAAGATGTATGCTCAATCTACGACCATTCATGCCCCCTCTAAAGATGCAAGTTGTTTGTGCTCTTGAAGAATTTAGGGTGACTCTAAAGTGTTGTATCACTGCGGAACCTATTTCTCAAGGTATGATTCAGATATAATTAAGTGTAATTAAACTTGATAAGATAATTTCCATGATTAATAAAAAGTAAATATATTTTGTAGGGATTTAAAAATTGTCGTGATAGACCATTTAGAAAGTACTAGGTCAGCAAAAGATGATCAAGAGGTAAAATACATCATAATTAATTATAGATGTAATGTGTTTAGATATAAATTGATTATTGAAATATTTTTTTAGCTTGGTCGGTTCATAACCACCTATAAAATAAGCAACCATCAAGTGCAAAGAGACAGACTGCATCGAGGCAAGTTACAGAGAGATAGGGTGCACCAAGGCAAGCTGCACAAAAGCAATGGGTACCAAAGGAAGGTGGAAGTGAATGATCCAATCTCTAACATAACACTCAACATTCTGCACCTCACTTCTTCCGTCCTTGTCATGCTCATTAATCCAAGGTGCAAAATGTTGAGTGTCTTGTTACCATTCACTTCTGTCCACCTTGCTTCAGTACCCATTGCTTCTTTGCAGCTTGCCCGTGCACCTGTCTCAGTGCACCTTGCTGGTTGCTTATTTTATAGGCGGTTATGCGCCGACCAAGAAGAAAATATTTCAAAAACTAGTTTATACACACACACATTGCATCTTTAGTTAATTACGGAGTATGATGTATTTTACCTCTTGATCACCCTTTCTTGGCGTAATACTCTCTAAATAGTCCATCACGACAATTTTCAAACTCTTACAAAATATATTTACTTTTAAATAATCTTGAGAATCTGATCAAATTTAATTATATATTAACATATACCTTGAGAAATAAGGTTCCACTGTGATACAACTCTCTAGAGTCACCCTAAATTCTTCAAGGACACAAACAACATGCATCCTTTAAGGGAGGGGGGGGGGAGGTGAATGGTCATAGATTGAGCCTTAAGAATCTACATTTAATTTTCAAAATGTTAAAAAATAGTTCATGTTAAAGCAAAACATCAACATTTTCAAGATAACAGTGAATATATATATATATATATATATATATATATATATATATATATATATATATAGGTTTTGGTTCTGGTGAGAATGCGATCTTAGGAGAGAAATGAGAATGAATCTGGTGCTTTAGATTGTGAGATCTAAAGGTTGGGATTGCATCAAAATTAGATGCACCAAAATGGTTTAAAAATGCATCACGTCACGTCAAAATGCATCAAAATCCTTCGAAAATGCACTGTCTGAAAATCTGAGCGCAGGATGCAATCTGAGCCGCACGATGCATCAGATCAAACGGCTAGATTTTATTCTCATTTCTCTCCACAAGGTGCATTCTCACAGGAACCGGCCCCTATATATATATATATATATATATATATATTCATTACCTTTTTCTAAACATAATGCTGAGCCCCATTCTTTAAAAATGACACAATCTCAAAGGAGTGATTGTATTTATTAGCCCCTACCTGCCAGCCCATGTATGAAAATTATATAATTTTGTTAAAACAAATATGACTTACCTGCTCTCCTAACCAATACCATATCATACTCTGGATGTATGTTGCTTTTTCAATCCATAAAGAACCGTACAAGTATTGTCTTTGAAGTAGGTATGATGCATACACTACGACAAATAATTTCTCGACTAACCTTAAGTTTTCTGTGGTATTGTAAAACACCTTGGAGTCAGGAGACCAAATGACTTTGTCTACAAACTCTTTTTCAGAACTGAAAAGATACAATGAACAAGTACATTCATATAAATAAGATTTGCTTATTTAATGGAGAGGTAAGACACATGTTATCGTTCGAATGAAATATAGATTATGTTTGCTTATTTAACTGTCCGAAACATATACATAAGGTATTATTAGAAGATCTCTTCCATATGATAGTGATCAGCTCTTAATGGTTATTGTCATTATACCCAATGTCTTACACATGTAATCCTATTTTTAGACCATAATTCTTATTCACATTGACCTTATCAATACAATGCCTTAATTATCTCATTAAAGCACGAGCTCTTAAATGCATTATTCTACAAATGCATTACATTAAGATGCTTTTAAAACACTCATAGTACACTAAGGCCATGTTCTGTTCACATAATCTGATTGGTTCTGATCTGAATAGAATAAGTTTTGATCTGGTCCGATTTGATGTGAATGTAGTTATATTTAAAGGGATTTCTGATATAATCTGATCTGGTCTGATCTGATTCCAATGAGAATAAGTAATAAGTAAAGAAAATAAGTTGAGGAGAATATGGCCTAAGTCATTGTGTCAAAGACAATGAGCAACATGAACAGAAAATTACATTGTCCTAATAATTGTGCACTAGATTTACTTCTACAAGGGTCATTCACAATGACCTTATAAGAATATTGTCTTAAGGTGTTTGTTTTTAATGTGTCACTTATTTTAGCCCTGCTCTTCTCTTATCATGCAATGTCCTCCACATTAATGACCCTAAAATATCTTCAACACATTATTCTACCATATGTCTTATGATTCACAATTTGTGCACATTGGATTATTTGACATTAAATTTTTCTACTAATTGTTCATCTAAAATTGGATTATGTGACATTAGATTTTTCTACTAATTCTGTATCTAATTTTGAAGGAAAATATGTGTGATGCTTAAGGCTTTATATAAAGACCAGAGATGTTACGGAAATATCCCTGTAGGCCTTGTGATTGTGAATATGAATTTGAGATTTCATGCGGCTGAATAAGAATTCAATTCAAGAAGATTTGCAAGATACTTATGAAAAGTTAAACTCCACAGAAGAGATTCTTTCCACCATTAATTTTATGAAAGAAGTGCTTTAAAAGTTTTTTCCAAAACTTACAAACTTTGTTAGCACATATGGCTAGGTAGTTATTTCATTCTACTATTATTATTGGTTTTTTGGTGGAATGAAAAAAATAATAATAATAGTAGAATGAAACTACCAAAAAACAATAATGATAGTAGAATGAAACAACCACCTCCCCATATTTGGTGACGAAGTTCTTAGGTTTTAGAGAAATCTTTTAAAGCATTTTCTTTTCATTAAATTAATGGTGGACAGAATTCCCTCTATGTTTTTTAACTTTTCATAAACATCTTGCAAATCTTCTTGAATTGAATTCTTATTGAACTCCTCGACATCAATTAGATGAAATCTCAATTTCTTTTTCACAATTACACGGCCTATAGGGATATTTTTGTAACATAGTTGGTCTTTATATAAAGCCTTAAACCACACATATTTTCCTTCAAAATTAGATACACAATTAGTAAAAAACCTAACGTCATATAATCCGAAGTGCGCAAATTGTTGAAAGAAATAAAATAAACTTAATATCGCAGGAACTCTAACTCAATTTCCATGTCATGAATGAGAGTTGTACGACTACCAGCATAATGCTTAGTAATCTGCGATATTTGAAAAAATCAAATCAACTAGATCAATAATATAAATTGTTAATTGGAAGACATTATATGGTAGAATAATGTGTTGAAGACATTTTAGGGTAAGTAGTGTGAAGACATTGCATGATAAGAAAAGGGCAATGCTAAAAAGTGTGCTAAACAAACCTTTGTAGAAGTAAATCTAGTGCACAATTATTATGACAATGCAATTTTCAATTCATGTTGCTCGTTGTCTTTGACAATGACTTAGTGTACTAGGGCAGTGTGTTGAAAGCATCTTAATGTAATGCCTTTGTAGGACAATGCGTTTAAGAGCTGGTCCTTTAACATGATTGTGTTGATAAGATCATTGAGAATAAGAATTATCGTCTAAAATAGGAATACATGCATAAGACATTGTGTATAATGGCAATAACCACTAAGAACCGATTACTATAATATTGGGAAAGATGTTGTGGTAGTACCTTATGTATATATTTTTTATAGTTAAATAAGCATACGTAATCTATATTTCAAACACTCGGATTTCCTATGATTTTGACAGAAATAAATTTGATGTGGATGAGGAACTCATGGAGCCCGACTTTTTTATTGCAATGGTGTTGGTAATGGAGATTTCATTTACTTTCTTTGCACGGAAGGACCAAACGAATCACTAAATACTCACTGCCTACAATGATGGGTCTACAATTGTTGCGGAAGAACCAAACAAATCACCAACGGTACCCAAATCCAGTTGTTGGTTTGCAGAGCTTTGATCATGCTTTTCCAGTGTGCTATGATGAAATAGATCATATAATGGAACTACCCCCCTGCACAATGGTTGCTCAGAGGTGAAGAAATCCTATGTATTCTTTGGCCTATTTCTCGGTATGACGTCACTTGAATAGACTGCACCAAATTAAATGTTCACGTGATTGACGAGCAACCGCATGCTGTAATTGTTTCCAAGCATGTGCACAATGTAAAGGGTCAACACTTTGCGGGGTTAAATGCGGTGTAAGTTTTTTTTGTTTTTGTTCTGTTATTGTTCATGTGTTTTTCTCACATTCTTTACTTGTGTTAAAAAGTATCCTACATCGAAACTTGAAGTGAAAAATAAATCAATATATAAGCTCTTGAGTTGAACTAAGTAATTGATTGAATTCAATCTTTTAATGTGGTTCAGCCTAAGTGTCTTATAGCCCAGTCTGGTGGTCTCTACCCCATTTAAATTCTATCAATTTGAAAGTTTGTGTCATTCTTTTTGGCAAAGAGTTCTTTAAGAGCATCAGGGTCTGTTTGGGAATAGCGTTAGAGATTAGCGTTAGCATTTTGGATAAAATTTTAACGGTGCAGATTACTTTGAAAACGCTAATGCTAAACATTGCCCGTAGATAGTCTTTTCAAAATGCTAACGCTATTCCCAAACAGGCTCTCAATTTGGTTTTGGTGTTTTGTTCAAAAAGGAAAACAAAAAAAAGTTGGAAGGGAGAGAAAATGGAAGGAAAAAACAATGAAAATTTGAGATCCCCATGTTGCACAACCTCATCTTTGCCTTATGTGTGAAGCTAAGTGAGCTACCCTCCTTGTGGGAGAATAATATTTGGAGGTGCAATTTATGGAGGGATGGAGCAGTCCAGATTATGTAAATGAATCTGTTTTAACAAGACGGGAATCCGAATAAGAGAGATTTGAAGAAGTATTATACAATACGACGAGTTCCTCATTCATTAAGCATACCAACATTCCTCCAAAATAGAACTTCACATTTGCATTATTTGAAATTCCAAAAAAAAAAAAAGATTACATTTATACTCTTTGATCTTTCAAATGTGAAAGTTCTTTTTGGGAGGAAGAAAATCTATACATACATACATACATCTTATTCTATTTACTTTCGAGATATATATTTGTACCGCCTAGCCCAAAACAAATAGTGCACGAAGTTTACTATACTAAGTCCGAACATGAGCCAATAGAACCTTTCCAACCGATAATGGTTCAAATTTTCCCCGGAGAGCCACGGCCGGTGGCCGGACCTTCCTGTCACGCTGTTCACCACCGACACGATCACGGTGCTGAGATAGTACCCCATCGCCAGCGACGCCCAAGAGAGTGACGTGGCCAACGATCTCATGCTGGCGGGCGCTTGGGAGAAGAAAAACTCCATCAGGCCCGCCAGCGTGAAGAGGTCAGCCGACCCGAGGAAGAGGTACTGGAACGCGATCCAGAAGAACGTCACGGGTAACGGTCCGGTCGAGTCAAGTAAACCGGACCGGACCGCCACGTTCCTCCGCTTGACCTCCACTAACGCGGCGACGCCCATTGCTATAATGGAAAGAACCAAACCGACCCCGACCCGCTGGAGGTGCGAAATGCCCATCTCTGTGTGGGTCAGGCGGCGGGCAAAGGGGACGATGAGGTGGTCGTAGGTCGGCGCGAGGACCATCATGAAAAGGACGGGGAAAACCGGGAGGGAGGCGGGGGGTACTTTGAGGGCCCCGAGGTGGGTGTCCATCGTCGCCGCCTGTTGGACGGAGAATGTGGAGAGCTGAGCGAGGCAGCAGTTCAGCATGATGGTGCAGCCGAAGATGGGGAGGACTTTCACCACCGTCTTCACGTCTTCCACTTGCTCGACGGTGCAATTGATCAGCGGAGGTGACTTGCCGGAGACAGCCTTGTTTAGGAATTTAAGGCTGTCCGACGGTTGCGCGCCCGTGGTTGAGCCGCCGCCTCCGTCTTCCTTGGTGGTGGGAATGAGAGGAGATGGGCTTGTGGCCATGCTCACGACGGCGTTGCTTCTTGGGGTTTTTGGGACCGGTGAGTTTAGTATTGCGGCAATAAAAACCTGTAAATTAAATGTTGTTATACTGATTTCAAGAATAACAATATGAACACGAAAAACACAACAAAGATTTACGTGGTTCACCAATAAATTGGCTAGTGCATTGCATGGAGAAAAAAGGGAGCATTTTTATTATGGAGAGGCAGGAACAGAATATATCTTAGGGTTTGTGATAGCACCTAAATATATAGCGCTAGGCTACACCCTAACAAGCTGGTACCCAAAATACAGAATTGCCAGATAATGAATAGCCCAATACATCAACGTTGTATATCGTCGGGCCGGGGCATCTCCCCCCGGACCCCAGCCAGGGGGCGCGTTGCCTCCCAGGACCCCCCGTTCTTTCTGCTGTAACAGGTCAGGTTCAAGGCATTACAACAAATGTACACAAATGTATCAAATTGATGGGCATAAAAAAATGAAAAATGCTAGGGTGACTCCAAACAGTTGCTATCAGGGTGTGCCCATCCTCCGCACAGATGATTATCATCTTTGTCATTTGTGCACACGACCCTGGTAGTAATAAATTGGGAAACCCTAGCATGAACCTAAAAAAAGGATGGAAGTAAAAATTTTTGTAGGGTATACTAACCTTAAAAATGGTGGTGATGGGACTTCCAAGGGGCACCTTGTTCCTATAAAACATGGAGCCAGAAAGAAAGACAGGAACCGACAAAAGTATGGTGACGAGAGCGATCCCAAAGCCCCATTGCCACCCTTTGTGATCCTCGATCCAAACCACCAGCGTCACGGCGGCGAGGGCGCCGCAAGAGAGGCAGAACACGAAGTAGTTGAAGAAAGTCGACCGCCGCTTCCTCCCCTCGGCCGTGTCGTCGTCGAACTGCTCCGCCCCGTGCGGCGGCAGAGACCCCTTTATGCCTCCCACGCCCAGGGCCACTAGATACAGGCCCACGAATAGCATTGCCGCTTGCGGGCAGTTGACTTCCTCGCATGGGCCGGTGGGCCCCCCTGGCGTGCATGGACGTGGCTTCAGCGTGTCAGAACGGGCTTGGACCGTTAATATTACCAAACCCTGCAATTTTAGGGCTCAGATTTTATCAAACGAAGAAGAAAAACGAGCAATCCAAAATTTTACGAATAATTTTTACATTTGAGTTCATTTAAAGTTAAACATAAATAAAATTTCTAGACGACGAAAGAAGCAAATCAATGAAAATGCTCTAAGAATATTTGTTCATTTTGACTTTTTGTGTGAAACTAAACAATCTTTGATTCCAAAATAAGTATAAAGATTTTCAAGATTTAATAAAAATTAATTAAATGATAGATTGTAGACTTAATCTTTGCTTACATTCATTAAAAATATAATAAATCTAACGTATCTAAATAGTTTTAATAGACAATTATTTATAAATGGAGGGAAAATATTCAAAAAATCAATTATATCAAAATTTGCAATGCTTAATAATAAAATGATACTCCCTCCGTTCCTTTAAACATGAGATGTTTTGATTTTGAAGATATTTAAGGGGACTGTATTTTGGTATTGAATTTCTAAAAATGTCTTTTGATGGGATGGGTAAAAGTAGGATTTGATGGGTAGATTATTAGTAAAAAGTATGATGTGATAGGTAGAGTATGAAAAAGTAAGAGTAAAAGTGACTTTTTAATAAGTGTTTTTTGGGACGGATGAAAAAAGAAAAGAGAAAAGTTTTCATGGACGGAGGGAGTACATAATTTAGAAATTTTGCATCCACCCTTCTCATTCATCCTAAAATGATTTACATCTTTACTATTGAGATTTCTCGATAACTTTTGTATGATTGTTTATTTAAATAAATATCTGGTAAAATAAAGAATTATGGCACTTCTTATTTTTTACTACATAAGTTCATAAATAAAATACTTTTAAATTTACAAAATTTTACAAATCATTCCAATATGAAAATAACAGAGAGAGAGAGAGAGTAATTAAATACAACTAGGCCACTGCCCATATTATGTCACGAAACATAATGTATGAGATCCCATTAGTTACACCTAGCAATATAAATGCGCAATCATTACAATGGACATAACGTAACGAGCATTAACTCGAACTGTTGTGACTCTTTTGGGGTAATCGTATAAGATTCATTTTACTTTTGAATTTTCCTAATTATCCTTGATGTGACGTATAAAAAATCTTATTTAAAAAATTACTCACCCGTCACATAATTATTCTCACATTTTTCCATTTGAGTTGGTCTTGAATTTTCTTTCATAATTTTTTAAGGAAAAGATTATGGAGTTTATTATTTCTCTTGTGCACAATCACATAAGTTTACTTTTTAAAAAGTTGTGACAATCTTATACGGAGCATAAAATACTTCCCCCGTCTAAAAAAGAATGACAGAGTTCATTATTCAGAAATTTCAAAAACTTTTGTTTTCATATACATTTTTATTGATTCTTTCATAAAATAAAATATTTTTGTGAATTCTTGTTTTGAAATTTTTTTTCGTAATTTTTAAAGATGAACTTTATGAATGTATGTAGGAAGAAGTATTAGTATGCAATTAATTAATCAAATTGGTTTACAAAAGCATTTTATGAATGTATCTTAATATTTTCCAATTAATATTAAACACGTTTTTCTTAAAATTCATAAAATGAATCTAAAAGTTACATTATTAGGTACTTAGGTAGCTAGGAAGCATCGGATTATTAATTAAGAAAATTCAAAATTTTACCATGGAAGGAAAAGTTTTCACCATGGAATTAGCAAAAGAGTGAAAAATGACCGACTTAATTATCCAAATGATTATGATCTATTTTAAGTGCGTGAGATTATTATTACTTCGTGTAGATGGCTTTAAAGTCAAAATGCATTATTATATTATTTCTTTTATTTGCAACTTGCTAGTGGCGTTTTTTATAATATTAAATGACGGGGTAAATTACTCAGTCAACCACTTTGTTTGGATTAGTTTAATTCTTCATTTCACTCATATCATGCAACAATATTAATGCATCATTGACAAAAACCTTTTACTAATAATTATTGGTTATGCGAAAAATTGATGATAAATAATCTGATGATGATGTAGAACTTAATGTTATTGAATTGTTACATTATTATTATTATTATTATTACTATTATTATCATTATTATTATTACTATTATTATTATTATTATTATTAGTACTCCGTATTATTATTATTATT